GTACACTGAACGAAAAAGGTACATATATTCAATAAAAAAAAACATTATATTGATGAAAAATTAATCAATTTTGGTCCAATGATTTGGTTCATTAATATTATGAACGTATGTTCATTAATTGATGATCGTGTTCATTAGTTGATGATTTTTTTCATTGATTTCCAACCTTTGCGGATTTCATTGAAGTAATGAACAAATTCATTATTTCTATGAATACGATTGTAAAAATTAATAATCGTGTTTCTTCAATAAATTATAGAATTAATTATATTAACGAAACTTGTTCATTATATTACTGAAACTCGTTCGTAGTATAGATGAATGTTTTCATTATATCCATTACATACGTTCATTATATCAATATAACTTATTCATAGTGTGGAAGAACTTTTTCATCAAATCCATTATATATTTTCACTATATTGATACAATACATTCATCGTATGGATAAACACATACATAACTATTAAGGAGCTTAAAATAATTAAATAGTCGTGGGGAAATAAAATAATCTTGTAATTTACAAAACATATATTTTAAGAACTAACAAAAGTAACAAAGAAAAATACAGAAAAGAATTTACATTATGTTTTAAATAACAACAAATAATAAATTTTAATTTGTTTTACAACCGGTTCAATTCCTCCACTAACAAGTAATGCTTAGTGGACTTATTTTTGCCAGCAGTGGAATTCATCTTATAAAAATAGTCTTTGGTAAACAACCAAAACTGAGTACATGTTGGGGTTATTCTAAATTGATTAAATGGAATATTTTGAAGCATATATCTACAATACGTAAAAAAATTGAAAAGTTTAGTTTTACTCCGTCTACATAGATATAGAAGCTTTTAAAGTTCCGGAAATCTTCGATGATTATTGCCATAATAAACGGCTGGATGTATTCTGATCGGGCTTAGAGGAACTGAGGAAGTGATTCTCCAATATGCTGCACACTCCTTCCGATAAAGAGAAATGATTCCTGAGAATCCTTTATAGCGTATTTAGTCACAGATTTTCTTCCGTTGTTGACCTTCCTCACAATTTTGACCGTATGGAAAGATAGCCATGAAAGCTCAAAAAAAGTTTTACAACTGTGGAATCTGTAAAAATAAAATAAACATTTCCCAAATCAAATCAATGTGATATCTAAAAAATACAGAATTTAAAAAGACCCTTTTATAGATTTTGAATAGGTAATTGCATGTAGAATTAGTAATACCAAAATTGATAGTTCCTAGCTAGGTAGGGATAGCATTTCTATCTAACAGCAACCACGTCACCCGTTCACAGACAGCAAAATTTCGATTTGAAATTTTTAAGTAAAAAACGTCTGTTATTTCTCTGTAGATGAAGTAGAAGGATATAGAAATTTTGTTACTGTTTCTCACCGTAAATTGTTTCTCCACAAATGAAACATCTCATGGTTATGGATAATATTGTTTCCTGTAGTGGAAACGGAATGTTCCTGAAAAGATGTTACTTATAAAACATCACTTTTGCACTGTGTGTCTGTACTGTTATTTACTAAATCTTAAGAATTGCAACTCTTATTTTATTACTGATTGAGTGTTACCGATTCCAAATAGAAGATTTTTCTTATTAATAGAAAAATAGTAAAGACTTATAGACTGAATATAAATCCTCACATTGAAAAAATAAAGAAGACGTGAGACAATAAAGTGCGCTACCAGAACTTCTAGAGACTTTAATTCTTACAGATTTTTTAAAGCCAAAAAATGTAGGCGGTACTTTCTCGTGGTAAAAGTACAGATAACCAATACAATTAAATTGTTAAAAAAATAAAACTTACCGTATCATTCCGGTTCATTGTTTAATTCACAGCACACAAACAGGACACATAGCTACAACACTCTTTGCGCTTTCGCGGGTGGTCGTATACTGATTTGATGTTAATTTTTTTAGCGGTTTATCCAGTAAAATAGATGAATTGGTACATTGTATTGATGAATTTTTGCATAAATCGATGAAAGTATTCATGTATTTTATGCAAAATTTCATTCCTCAG